GCCTCCGTGGAGGGCGACCTCGGCGGCGGTCACAGCAGATGGGCGCGGCCACGTGGCGGCGGGGGGGCGGGGGGACCCCAGGGCACCATCTCTCCAGCACCTCCTGTCCTAGTCCAGTTTCTGCCGAGATCGCTGGCCCCCCGTGTCCGAGGCCTCGGGACTGAAGTCTGCACAGAAGCCGTTGGGGGTGGCAGTGGGGGGCGGCTGTGTGTGGCTCTCCGGGGGCGGCCGCTCGGGGTACAGGTACTCCTCGGCGAAGTCGGGGAATGTTTCTGCAAACCTGCGGAAGTCGGCTGCACGGAGAAGGGTGCCGGCGTCACGGGGGCCTCGGGCTCCCGGGGCCTGAGCGGGCGGCCCCCACCCCTGCAGGGCTGGACCTCGGCCTGGGAGGCGAGGACGGGAAATCAGTGGGCGCACAGGGGCGTCCCCACGCCCCCTCGCCTCCTGCTTCAGGGACGCCCAGCGTACAGTCTGGGGGCTCGGTGCCTGTGCAGAGCTGCCAATCATTAAAGGGGCTGGTTCGGGGCAGGACGGGGGGCCTTTGTGACCGAGGCTGCACTGGGGTGGAGGGTGCGTCGGGCCCACCAGGGGACCCGGGGAGCGGGTGCCGGTGCCTGCAGGCTCCAGGGAACCCTGATGGCGGTTACTGGGAAGTCTGCAGTCGGTCCGCACGCCCTGCAAGCCTGTCGCCGACAGCCCTGCGCCCCTCGGGAGCGCGGCCGGCTTTGGTGCTGGTGCGCATGAGCACACACAGCTAAACCAACACGCCCGTGTCTGACATTTGGACACAATTTTACAGCATGTCCAAACAAGACACGGCGTGACCTTTGCTAAGCAAACAGCTGCGTGTTTCAGCGGGACACGTGTTGAGTTGAGATGTGCGGGCTGCGCTGGCCGCTGCTCTGAGGAGCGGCTGGAGTCAGTGCCCACGGGCAGCGGGCTCGCTCCTGCTCAGGGACCGACTGGGCCCCCGACCGCGGTGCCCGCCGTGGCCCAGCACCGCCCGCAGCCCCCGGATGCCGTCTGTCGTGGGCTCCGAGCTCTGTGGCCGGGCTTGGGGTCTGCTGTCAGCAGAGGTCACTTGGACACCCCCGCCCCTCCCAGCCGGAAGGTTCTTCCTCGGACTCTCAGAGCTGCTCGTGACACAGGGTGGCCTGGAGCACAGAGGTGGCAGGAGCTCCATGTGCGAGGGCCCCACCCGCCTGGGGACGCCCCCTACACAGCAGGCCATCGTCCCTGCCGCCGCCACTCACCGAACGTGATCCTCCCCCTGTCCTCCCGGTCCACCGCCCGGAAGAGGCGCGCCGCGGGCAGCTGCGCCACCCCTGCCGCTGTCTTGAGGATGGTGGACAGGGCGTCCTCGTCTACGCTGCCGTCCTCTCGAGACCCGTACATCTGCGGGGCGGAGGCCGGCCTGGCGTCACCAGGGTCCCGGCCCCGTCCGGGGCGGCCCGGTTCCCCTCGCCTGGTGTTCTCAGCTCTCCAGCCAGCCAACTCCGCCCCACGGCGTGGTCACCCTGGCGAGTGCCGGGCCGTCTGAGCGGCCACTCGCCCTCCTGCCTCGATCAGGCTCCCCAGGGTGGCGTCTGTCCACCTGGGCATAGATGGCCCTGTGCGCTGGGCCTGGCACATGTGGACCTCACGGGCTTTCAGCTCACTGAGGCAGGTGGGCCACCCCCGTGCCTGACCGTCGGGAGGCTACCCTTCTTCCTGATGGCTAGTTCAGTGGCCAGCAAGTGATGGAGGCCAGCCCTGAGGGCAGCCAGGTGAGTCTGCATGCAGGCTGGGATCCCGTCGGGGGCCTGCCCCGGTGGTGGGCAGGCCGTGCGCTATGGGGCAGGCCGCCCAGGTGCCCTGGCTGCTTCCCTGTCAGCGGGCTGATGTGGGGGCTGAGCGGGGCAAGCCGGGGGGCCTGGGGTACTGACCCGCCCGCCCTGTGCCCTCCTCATGTGAGGCTGCCGGATTCCAGGACGAGGTTGATCTGGGGAGGCTTGGGCGCATTTTCACACACAGTGGCTGGTACAAGCTCATGTGATCACGGCACTTGGGCAAATGGCCACGTTTACCGCGTAAGGAGAGACAATTAAGCTGCATCTCAGGCCTGACGTGGCCCGTCCACCGTCCCTGCAAATCCCCACCCCCCGCAAACGCCAAACTCGCCTTGAACGCCAGCTGCATGGTGTCCAGGGTCTGGGCCGGCCGGCAGACGACGGACAAGGCGACCACGTACTCCCGCGGGTCCATCTCGCCGGCCCCGCTCTGTGGAACAGAGATGCCCTCAGTGGCCATTTGGCCGCGTCCCCCAGGAGAGCTGGGGTTCAGCGCTGGCCTGGGGGGTTCACTGGAGCTCAGCTCCGCTCGGACCAGGCGTCACGTGTCTGTGTGAACACGGCACTTGGAAGACGCTGGTGACCGGCCGCTTCTCCCAGGCGAGCGTGGCGCGAACGGCGCCTCTGGCCGTCACGACTGGTTTTCACACTAAGCTGCCTGAGGAAGCAGGTGGCACGAAGCCTGTCCTGCTAGAAAGACAGGCCGCCGATGGCGAGGCTCCCGTCTGGGCTCTGGCAAGCCAGCAGGCTGATGGCAGCACAGCGAGCGTGTGACATGGGGGGGTCCCCGAGCTGGGACGCGGTGCCGGCACGTGGGGCGCCGGAGACGCGTGTCCCCGCACGTCTCCTGCACGGGGCCGGGGCTGCTGGGGCACAGGGCTCGTGCCCACGTCATCGCGACTCTCCTGGCTCTGCACACGCCAGACCACGCCGCGCCTGCGGCCACACAGGACACACGACATTGTCACGTGGAATGTGCTGTGTCGTCACCCAGAACAGCCGTGTCATCCGCGTGGCATGTTCCTGGCTCCACACACACCGTGCCCTGACCGGCTGCCACGGGACACACAGCAGGCGTCTACACTGTGACACAGATGTCTGGGGGGCACCAGGCGCGTCTGGCTTCCGAGCTGTGGTGGCCTGCCCCTCCGGGCGCTCCGTCTTCAGCCCTCTCGAACCCCGACAAGCCACCCCCCACTTCTAGAGCAGCAGGGCCACGTTCAGCCAGCACAGAGATCCTGAGCACGACGCGCTTGGCGAAAGGGGAGGGTGGCCGTGCCCCACACGGAGACGGCGGAACCCCAAAACTGCGACCGTCGAGGAAGGGGCTTCTGAAGGGGCCAGCAGAGGGCTCTGGGGCAGGGGCACGCGGGGGCCTCAGGCCAGGCCGGCTCCACTGGGTGACACCACGTCAGAACCCCCAAGCTAAAGAGGGGCTCATCAGCAAGCGACAGTTCACCGCCCCCTGCCCCCCGATCATGAGGCTTTGCGAGCCTGGGGGAGACGCCACGGACAGGGTGGGCGGCGGGCTGAGTGACGGGGAGGTTTCCCTTTCCTGCTTCCGAAGCCGCCGAAGGACATTTGTCGCAGGGTAAAGGGATCACGCTTCGGGAGCGGCAGGGTTACCTCGTCAAACAGGGAAAACATGTCGTGCAGCCTGTCGGACAGCTCGACGCCCAGGAACGCAGCGAACTCCGAGGCGCCCATCGTCCTGCCCTGCCAAGCCTGGGCGCCCGCCGCATACCTATCCAGGTCCTTCTCAAGCTTTTCTGGTTTCAGGCTGAAGAGAAAGAGAGGAAAAGACGTTTCCCACGAAATTACAGAACACCAGAGACAGGAGATTGACCGCTACGTGCAGACCCGACGAGGTACTAAAATTATTTGTAGGCCAAGCAGCCGCTTTTCGAGGAGAGACTTCTAATAACCTGAGGACACACAGCGCACCCTAAGTGTCCACAGCCCTCGGCGGCTGTGAACCAGGACGTCACCCTGCCCTGGGTGGCACCCCGGAGAGAGAGCTGACGCCAACCGGTAATGGTTTAAGACACTTCTGTGGATCGAAGCTGGCATTTGAAAAAAGAAAAACACCCCTTCCGCCTACCCCCAGGATAAGCGCTCGCTCTGAGGGCCTGTCCGTGGGCCCTGGGTGACCTCCAGCCCGGTCACGGACGCCTGCAGGGCGGAGGCCCCTGTGGGGTGCTGACGGAAGCTTCCGGTCTAGCACACGGCTCTCGCCCACGCTGCTCTCCTGCTGTGCTGAAGACATGGTGCCTGTCACCGCGCCTGCAGCCCGACACCCTGTCACAGCTGCAGGGAGCACCCTCCCCGACCAACGGCTCAGGAACGGGGGAACCAGGGCACTCACCCCAGGCCCCTCACCAGCCTGGCAAACTCGAGAAGGCAGGTGTCCGCAGGGAGGCGGAGCTGCCCGTCCGCCAGGGCCAGCTGGCAGTCCTCGAAGGTGTAGTCGGTGACGGGGACGCCCAGGGCTCTGTGGAGAGAGGATGGCCGTCAGCGCCTGCCTCGGGGTCGCTCCTGAGTCGCTCTGGTGCGGGAATCCAGGCAGGGGTGACGCTGGCCGGGCGCTGACACCCTGCTCCGAGCCCCGTGGCACCCGCGCTGCCCTCGGGAAGGTGGCGTTTTAAAAGGCGATGCTCCGTGACTGAAGCGTTTGGATCTAGCAGTCCACATACAACTAACTTTAGTCAAACATTGAAATAAGTCGACGTGGACACGGGCGATGAGAGTTGTGACTAGCACAGTCTCTCAAGAACAGGAGCCACGTGGGGTGACACACGGAGGGGCGGCTGGCGGAGCGGGCAGCTTTGCTCAGAAAAGCCCCGTATGGCCTCGGCTCAGCGGGGCCCGCACGCGGCTCGAGGGACCAGAGCAGATCGTCCACCATCGGAACGAGTAGCATTGAAAACTTTCGCGAACCAGAGTAAAGTGACACAGGTGTGAGGGGCAGGCAGCTCCTCCCATGCCCGGCTCAGCTGCTCACCGTCCATCAGTGGCCGCCCGCGCCCTCCCTCCCGCCCGTTGTGGGCAGGATGGATGCGGTTTCCAGCCGTTCCCACAGACCGTGCGGGCTCCGAGGGCGGTACACGCTGTGGCACATTCCTGCAGACCGCTCGGAAAGGCTAGGCAGAAGGGACACGCTGAAACCCGGTGTGGACCGTCCCTTTGCAACTCCCTCTGGCCAAGAGGCCACAGCCGCCACCCTCTTTTGCCAGAGGGCAGGCTCGGCCTCCTGAGCTTGTCACCAGGAGTGGCTGACAAGAAACAGAGGCCTGGCCCCTGAAGCGGGGCGCTGCTGTGTGTGCCTCCCCGGGAAGGGGGCTTGGGCAGGGCCGGCTAGGAAACCTGGGGGGCAGGCGGCAAGGAGACGACAGAGCCTCGTGCGGAGCTCGCACTCAGCACCGAACGCCCGCTAGCTGACCCCGACCGCGTCACAGGGAGCTTTGCGGCTGGCTCCGGACCGTCTCGGTTTGCAGCCTGTGGGAAACGTGCAGGCACCTGGGCCGCGGAGACGACACGCCGCCCACCGCGGTGCTGGGCGGAGAAGCTGAACTCTCAACTGGAGGCCAGGGATGCTTCTGCGAGAGAGCTGGCCCTGCCCTGAAGCCACGGAGAGTCAGGGCACTCGGCTGTTCTGAGCTGCGTCGGTGTTCGTGAAAAATGACGTCCCCTGGCTATTACACACTCGTGGTAGGAAATTTACCAAGTACAGGAAACTAAACAGCACCCCCACCCCCATAACTGAGCGGGCTTTCAATCGTTTGGACAGAGGCTCCTGTTGTCATGACAACACTGCGTGCACTCGGGGAGGTGCAAAGGACCCCTGAAGTCTTTCTCCGTGGATGTTGGGGTTCTCCTGGGCAAACTGAGCCATAATCCTCGGGGCCAGAAGCCACACTGCGGCAGGCGGGCCTGGGGCTGCTCCACGGGCAGGCGGGAGGGGCCACTCGCAGAGCCCTCAGGGGTCCTGGCCCCTCCCAGGTGCCTTTGAAGATGGGACTAGGACCCGGGTGGGGACGACCTGCCTCCCTGCGTCTGGGATTTTCCTGAGGCAAGGGGGTGCCCGGGGCTATCGGAGAACATGGCCGGTTTCTTTAGGATCGTCGTAAACAGGGTTACGGTTAACTAGAATGGGCACGGAGACCGTCGGCCCCTGGCCTGTCGCCTGCGATCCCTGGACGCGGTTTCTTTATTGAGAGAGCGAACAGGGGTGTCGCTGAGCATCCTGACTTTCTGAGCAGTGGGGTGGAGCAGGTCTGGCGGCCCGTGTGGTTCACGGCTCGGTGGACCCCGGAGGGCGGGGCCCAGGGGAGGGGCGTGTCGCGCTGGGCAGGCCTAGTGCCTCGCTGTCTACGGCGCCTGTGGACTGGGCCTAGACACCTTGCTGAGTTTTAATTCACTACGCTGAGGCGAGACGCGTGATTTGCTCCATGGGGCCCCACAGGGCGCACTGCGGTGGGAGTGTGACGTGC